GGGAGGAGCCGTGTGCTGAGGCCCCTGACTCACCATACTGGGAGGACCTCTCAGAATCGGTGGGGTTGCCTCAGGACAGCAGGGTCTTATCCCATGGCAGGTTCAGGTGACCCAAATATATGAGTCCGCCCTCAGGAAATATGCCTCAGTTCCATCTGGCTGGGCATCCTGAGTGCTGCATCCGGGCTCCGTTCTTGTTTCTAATTAGAGAGGTAAGTCACATCTTTTATGCAAAATTCAAATGTTACAGAATCATGTAGCATCATCAGTGCACATGCCAAAGAAAATCTCAGTTAACAATAAGACACATATTCCTTGTTTTCTTTTCTATTCAAACACAAACATTTGTTCCTGTGTTTAACAATGTATCATGGCCATCTTGCATATCAAAACATAGACCCAGATCTACCTTAAGAAATGTGTGAGGATTTTATTCATTTTGTGAAATTTTAGAGAAGTGGTACATGAATATATTCTCTGGGAAAGAGTCAACAATATATAAATGTAAGAGGAAAGTTGGCCCAGTGCGGTGGCTCATGCCTGTAATCCCAACACTTTGGGAGGCTGAGGTGGGCGGATCACGAAGTCAGGAGTTTGAGACCAGCCTGGCCAACATAGTGAAACCCCGTCTCTACTAAAAATACAAAAAATTAGCCAGGCGTAGCGGCACATGCCTGTAATCCCAGCTACTTGGGAGGCTGAGGCAGGAGAATGGTGTGAACCTGGGAGGTGGAGGTTGCAGTGAGCTGAGATTGAGCCACTGCACTTCAGCCCAGCCAACAGTGCGAGACTCTGACTCAAAAAAAAAGAAAAGAGGAAAGTGAATTTCCTCCCCCAGTTCTTCCCACTTCCCTCTTTCCAGAGGGACTAATAATCTCTTTTCCTTTTTTGTTTCATTTATATACACTCTCACACATTTGTTTTACTTAACTGTAGGCCTTGAACATCTTTCAGGTCAGTACAAAACAGGCCTAACGTATATTTTTACTGGCTGTATGGTTTTTCTGAGTATGTCACCATACAGTGATTCTGAGACTCATCTGGGAACTTGTTAGAACACGGGTTGAGGAGGCCATCCTGAAGTGTCCCCAGCTAAAAACCAAGTCCTGTCATCACTCCTGTCTGTATGAACACCCTGTACGTATCTCTGAGTATTTAAGGGAGAGTTCCACAGGATTAAATTTCTAGCTGTGGAGATGAGTCAAGTGAGATTAGCGTCATTACTTTTAATAATATGGCCAAATTGAACTTTAACATTGCAATGCGTCCCCACCCTCACCAGCAGTGCATGTGTGTGCTGTCTGTTCCCTCCCCATCACCCATGGCAAACACTGCCTAAGACTGTTTCACCACACTGATGTATGAGACACTTCATTATTTGTTTGTTTTTGTTTTTGAGACGGAGTCTTGCTATCACCCAGGCTGGAGTGCAATAGTGCGATCTTGGCTCACTGCAACCTCCACCTCCTGGGTTCAAGCAATTCTCCTGCCTCAGCCTCCCAAGTAGCTGGGATTACAGGCGACTGCCACCATGCCTGGTTAGTTTTTGTATTTTTAGTAGAGTTGGAGTTTCGCCATGTTGGCCAGGCTGATCTTGAACTCCTGACTTAACTGATCCACTCACCTGGGCCTCCCAAAGTGTTGGGATTACAGGCGTGAGCCACTGTGCCTCGCCAACACTTCATTATTTGAATTTCAATTAATTATGAAAGGAGCTGAACAACGAGTGTCTTCTTTTTCTGTAAACGAACTTTTTATTTTGGGATTACTTTAGATTTACAGAAATGTTGTAAAGATAGTACTGAGCTCCTATGGGCTCTTCACCAGCCTCCCCCAAAGTGAACACACATAACTGGCACATAGGCCCAAACAAAACAACTTACATTAGTATGCTACTATTAACTAAACTTTAGGTTTTATTTGGATTTTATGTGTTTTCCCATCAATGTCCATTTCTGTTCCAGGATCCAATCCAAGATCCCATATTGAGTCGTCATGTCTCCTTAGGGTTCCCTGATCTGTGACACTTCCTCAGTTTATCCTTCTCTTCCATGATCATGGCAGTTCTGAAATCCCGGTTAGTCTGGGTCAGTCTCGCATTCCCCCAGATCCTTCCTTCTCCTGGTTGGTCTCTCATCCCCCTCAGTAAGAACTGTGTGAACTGTCCCTCAATTTGGGTCTGTTTAATGTTCTCTAATGATTAGAAAGGGCTTATGGGTTGGGGGGAAACGCCACAGAGGTGAAGTGCCCTTCTTATCATGCCATGCCAGATTGTGGCAACACGTGGTATCACATACTTTCTTAGGAAAATCCTGAACACACATAAATATAGCAATAGTAGAGTAAGAACTCATTACTTGGTACTCCACAATTATCAATGCTTTTCTTTTTTCTTTTTTTTTCTTTTGAGACGGAGACTCGCTCTATTGCCCATGCTGGAGTGCAGTGGTGCGATCTCGGCTCACTGTAACCCCCGCCTCCTGGGTTGAAGCTATTCTCCTGCCTCAGCCTCCCGAGTAGCTGGGACTACAGACACCTGCCACCACGCCTGGCTAATTTTTGTATTTTTAGTAGAGACGGGGTTTCACCATATTGGCCATGCTGGTCTCGATCTCCTGACCTTGTGATCTGCGTGCCTCGGTCTCCCAAAGTGCTGGGATTACAGGCGTGAGCCACTGTGCCCGGTCCTGGATAGCTTTTCAATATGGTTGGAAGACATTTTCATTTTACTTTTCTGTTCTCTTCTCCATCCTTTCTTCTTCCCTCCCTTCCTCTATCTTTCCTTTTTAACACAAAAGGAGAAAGCACTAACAGTGCTGGCAGTCTATATCGGACCTAGATGGAAGAGCATAACACATCTAATTAAATTGCTCCCTCTCTTGGCTCAGACTGCCATGACAAAATACCATAGGCTGTGTGGCTTACAGACATTTGTTTCTCATGGTTCTTTTCCAGCCTTTTCTTCCAGCCTCCTCAGATGGGAACCCTCTCCTCTGCATTCCCACTGTTCGTCCCCATATTTTTTTTTTTTTTTTTTTTTTTTTTTTTTTTTTTTTTTTTTTTTTTTGAGACGGAGTCTTGCTGTCACCCAGGCTGGAGTGCAGTGGCAGGATCTCAGCTCACTGCAGCCCCACCTCCCAGATTGATGCAATTCTCCCGCTTCAGCCTCCTGAGTAGCTGGGATTACAGGCACATGCCACCACACCCAACTAATTTTTGTATTTTTAGTAGAGACACGGTTTCACCAGGTTGGCCAGGTCTTGAACTCCTGGCCTCAGGTGATCCAGCCACCTTGGTCTCCCAAAGTGCTGGGATTACAGGCGGGAGCCATCGCACCCAGCCCCCAACATTTCTTTCAAAGCACCCGAGTTGAGGAGGGGAAATGGCATGGTCTGCCCAGGTGCTGTTACCTGTGAATTTAAAAAGAATGATAAAACCAAATTTGAATTTAAAAAAACCTTTTTTTGAGAAGCGTCTGGCTCTGTCAACCAGGCTGGAGTGCAGTGATGTGCTCTCAGCTCACTACAACCTCCACTTTCTGGGCTCAAACGATCCTCCAACCTCAGTCTCCTGAGTAACTGCAACTACAGGTGTGTACCACCATGCCCCGAGAAATTTTTGATATTTTTTGTAGAGATGGGTTTCACCATGTTGGCCAGGCTGGTCTTGGACTCCTGAACTCAAAGTGATCCCCTCACCTAGGCCTCCCGAAGTGTTGCGATTACAGCTGTGAGCCACCGTCCCCAGCATGAATCTGCTTTTTATCACCATATGATGTCAATTTTAAAGTATCAGGGATATAATACACCTCCATGGGGGGGAGGGGGGGAATCAAGATACAGAACATTTCCAGCACCTTAGAGGTTTCAAGGAAATATTTTAATGCTTAATATATTATTTAATCTCACCCCAACTCTCCTTTTGCAGGGTGCTGAGAAACTCAATTGCAGTCATGTTTAAGCTCCCCTGGCCTTGTAGGGGCGTGGGAAGGACTAAATTTTGTGAGTCCTAAAGTCCTCTCTCTCAGGGATTACTTACCTCCAGGAGTGGCTGTTTCTGCCACCATTTCTCAACCATCCCTGTGGAGGGTCCTGAGCAATCTCCCACCCAGCTTCCCCCCCGCCAACCCCCTCCTTTTTTCTTTTTGAGACGGAGTCTCACTCTGTTGCCCTGGCTGGAGTGCAGTGGCACAATCTGGGCTCACTGCAACCTCCACCTCCCGGGTTCAAGCGATTCTTCTGCCTCAGCCTCCCGAATAGGTGGGACTACAGGCGTGCACCACCACACCCAGCTAATTTTTGTATTTTTAGTAGAGATGGGGTTTCATCATATTGGCCAGGCTGGTTTCAAACTCCTGACCTTGTGATCCACCCGCCTTGGCCTCCCAAAGTGCTGGGATTACAGGCGTGAGCCACTGCGCCCGGCCTCCCCCATCTTTTTTTTTTTTTGAGACAGGATCTCACTTTGTCACCCAGGCTAAAGTGCAGTGGCTTCATCAGGGCTCACTGCAGCCTCAACCTCCCCGGCACAAGCGATCCTCCCGCCTCAGCCCTGCAAGTAGCTGGGGCTACAGGCACACATACCACACCCAGCTAATTTTTTGTAGAGATGGGGTTTCGCCATGTGGCCCAGGCTGGTTTGGAATTCCTAAGCTCAAGCGATCCACCCACCTCAGCCTCCCAGAATGCTGGGATTACAGGCATGAGTCACCATGCCCGGCCCCAGCCTCCCTTTTGAGGCCTAAAATGGGGGAAAGAGATGCTCAAAGCCTTCAGCTCATTTTCCTGAGTCACTGGCCTGATTTCACTACAATTCCCAAGGCCTGGCAAGGTGCCCAGCCGTTCTCAAAGTTGGGTCTGCAGGTCCTCTCTTTTTGAACTACGTAACTGTAGATGTTCTTTACAATGTATATGTCAACCAATGCAATATATTGCAGCAGACCGAATGCTGAAGCACATGTGACAACTTATTAGATCAGATTTTAAAAAGATTCGCAAAAGTGTAAAACAGTACCACTCCTTTATTTTGGTGGTGGGCGGGGAATGTAATGTTTACTTTTTTTTTTTTTTTTTGAGACGGAGTCTCACTCTGTCGCCCAGGCTGGAGTGCAGTGGTGCCACCTTGGCTTACCGCAACCTCCGCTTCCTGGGTTCAAGTGATTCTCTTGCCTCAGCCTCCGGAGTAGCTGGGATTACAGGCGTGCGCCAACACACCCGGCTAATTTTTGTATTTTTAGTAGAGGCAGGGTTTCATCATTTTGGCCAGGCTGGTCTCGAACTCCTGACCTCAGGTGATCCGCCCGCCTCGGCCTCCCAAAGTGCTGGGATTACAGGCGTGAGCTACCGCGCCCGGCTGTTTACTTTTAAACGAAACAAACAACAAACTTTAAAGCATTTTAACTTACAATGTGGTAACATTGATAGCTGTAACACCCATAGGCAAAAGCTTGGGGCCTTCATGTTTATGAGTATAAAATGGTCCTGAGACTGAGTTTGGGAAACGCGGTAGCTTTATGAAGCGGTGCCATTCTTGCCGCCGCATCAGTGAATTTCGGAGCAGGACGGTCGTCGGTCCTCTGCCTCACCGCCAAGCAGGAGCCTCGCGCTCCAACTGCGTCCCTCGAAGTCTTCGGGCAAAAGCGGGGCTGGGGAGTCCAGTCGTGTCGCCAAGCCACGTTTCCTCGCGTGGAATGTTGGACAATGTTTTCTACCTCACAGGACCATCGAAATGACTGCGTTGGGTATCCCCGTGACATGTACGATGAGTTAACACCCTATTCTACAGAAGAAAAAGCTGAGACTCAGAGACGCCGAGAGCTTTGCTGGGGTCCCGCGACTAAGCGGTCCCGAGACCCAGACAACCGGGCCACCCGGGCAGAGCCGGTCACTACCGGGCGCCGAAAAGCCGCCGGCTTCTCCCGCCAGCTACACATCCGGCGCCGAGGCCGGAAGCTTCTCTTCCGGTTCTCAAGACCGCGTTCCGGAAATGAGTCACTCTACCAGTACCTAAAATGGCCGCCGGCCCATCCACCGTCGCGATCAATGTAAGGAAAGTGGTCACGAACCCGGAAGTTGCCCGACTCCGTCATGGCAGGCGCCGGGGGCGTGGCTTCCGGCGGCCACAGCTTGCTAGTAGCCGCGGCAGGGTCGAGCGGGGGCGGCAGCTGACAGGCGCTCCTCCCCCGACGGCAGCGGCTGGTGCCCAGCGAGGCGGGCGGCCCCCAGCTCGCGTCCCCGCGTCCCAGCCCGCGAGGCGCCAGGGCTGCGCCTGGGCATGGAAGAGGGGAAGATGGACGAGAATGAATGGGGGTACCACGGAGAAGGCAATAAGAGCCTGGTGGTGGCCCACGCGCAGGTGAGCGGCGGACGTGCGGCGCAGGTCCGGTACCTCACTCAGACTGCCGGTATCACCCCGCCCCCAGTATCCGTTTCCCCAGCAGGGTCGGTTCGACGTCCTCCTGGTACCTTCCTCCTCCCCGGCCGGTCTCCGGAATTCCCCCCTACCCCGTGGGTTTCTCATCACCCAGTATCCCCTCTCTACTGGGTCAGTGTCCCATTCCCCCAGATCCTTCTCCTGGCCGGTCTCTCGTCCCCTCAGTATTCCCGTTCCCCGTCAGAGTCAGTTCCACGGCCCCCTCCCCGCCCCGTCGGTGCCGCTCTCAGCCTCACGCGGTGCCGCCTCCCGCCTGGATGCCCGCCGGACTGCCAGGCCGCAGTGGGCCGGAGGCTTAGCTGGGACAGAGGGCCCGGCCAGCACTGGAGGAAGAAGCAGAGTGCCCACAGTGCTGTTACTCTCAGCACCAAAAGAGTTCGGCCTCGTGAGACTACGGAATTGCTGTGCTGTTAATAGTAAGGGGATGTTACCCACAGGTCCCTTCTCAACCTTTTAGAATTTGAAGGGTTTCACCTGAATTCAATGAGGGTGAAAGTTTTAGAAACTGCAGTAAGATCTCGCAAAGGTGAATCCAAGAGTGAAGGATGTGGGTCTGTGTGAGGGCCCAGATCTCTCTGACCTTTTGCTGTCTGGTACAAGCATGCAGGAATGTGGCCGGCTGGAAGGGGGGAGGGGTGTGAGGGAGGCGAGGATAGGTGTCATGTAGGGAGGAGTTAGAGCATGGGTGTTAAAGGCACAGGAATCTCAGTTCTACCACTGCCTGGTGGAAGCTCAGTGTCGACATTCGAAGTGGAACTACTAATAGAATTCACTTTGTGGGATAGTTGGAAAAATCAGTTATGCAGGAACCCATCAAGTTATGCTTAGCAAGTGATAATTATCATCCCCTTGGACAGATAGATAAAGTGAAAATAAGAGAGGTTGAGGGCACTACCCCAGTCCAAGAGCTTGTCAGGGATGATGTAGGCAGTGGAGTCCTGCCTTGCTTCTGTTGTTCCTATGCTGGGTGCATTGGTCAGCTGTAGCGTAAGCTGCGAACACCTAGGTAGTCCCTAGGTTGTGCCTTTGAATTTTGTTGCTCTTTAGCACAGGGAACTAAAGAACAGAGACTACAAGCTTTCCTCAAGATCTTTAGGTGAATTAATAATGGACCAGGCTAACCTGAAGCTGTCCTTCTCTTGTGTAGTCCGCTGTTGGGGAAAGTGAGGGATGTTTCCGCGTGAGTCCTTTTGTTGGATTACTGTCCCGATCCCCTGAATCCTTTCCCAAAACAAATACTAATCTTCCAATTCCTTGGTAAGATTAGATGTATCTCTGCATTTTAGGTAAACCTAAGGCTTTCTTTAGTGAGGACTGATATATTAAGTTTCAAAAGTAGTGGCAGATGAAGCAGCAAGTTTCAGGCTTGGAGCAAAAGGACACCCATGTTGAAAGTGCAGAGGCTTTGACACAGTTGCCTCTGGCACTTGGATCCCTCTGCATGTTCCCGACAAGTGCGTGTCCACCCTCTTCCCTGAGTGCACCCCCTTTCCTGAGCAGGCATCTCCAGGGCAGCCTGGCCCTACCCTGTTGCACAGCTCTGATTGTAATGCTTGTTTATTTTTATTTATTTATCTATTTAGAAATGGAGTCTCATTCTGTTGCCCAGGCTGGAGTGCAATGGCGCGATCTCGGCTCACTGCAACCTCCGCCTCCTGGGTTCAAGCAATTTTCCTGCCTCAGCCTCCTGAGTAGCTGGGATCACAGGCTTGCGCCACCATGTCCAGCTAATTTTTGTATTTTTGGTAGAGATGAGGTTTCACCATGTTGGCCAGGCTGGTCTCAAACTCCTGACTTCAAGTGATCCACCCACCTCGGCCTCCCAAAGTACTGGGATTACAGGCATGAGCCACCACACCAGGTTGATTGTTTATTTTTTCTTTCACCTTTTCAAATTTACCTACAGCCACGAGGCTATTCTAGACCTATACTATTCATTCTTTTTTTTGAGATGGAGTCTTCCTCTGTCTCCCAGGCAGAGAGAGTGCGGTGGTGCAATCTTGGTTCACTGCAACCTCTGCCTCCTCGGTTCAAGCAATTCACCTGCCTCAGCCTCCCAAGTAGCTGGAATTACAGGCACCTGCCACCATGCCTGGCTGCTTTTTTTGTATTTTTAGTAGAGATGGGGTTTCATCATGTTAGCCAGACTGGTTTCAAACTCCGGACCTCAAATGACCCGCCCGCCTCAGCCTCCCAAAGTGCTGGGATTACAGGCGTGAGCCACTGTACCCAGCCTCATTCTTTGTTTTAAATCTAAATTTGCTTTACTGTACTCATTCCTGTTTGGTGGTTGTTTTTAGCTCATCATTTGAAATTGAAGATTATCACTGCACGTAATCTCATGAGAAAATGTTTCCCATCAAGTTAAGGTCAGATGGAGCCTGTGCCTGATATGGTAACCTGAACCAAGCTGAGCCCACCAGCTCTGCCCTGTGGTGTATTTGCTCAGGCTGTGGACCAAGGAGGAGAGAACCATTCCTGGAAGGCAGCTTTTTAGGAACTGTTGAGTTTGAGCAGAGGGTATATGTCAGTGGGATAGAAGACGGGTGAGGGAGAACAGGAGGAGTCTGTGGTCCTGTGGATGCTGAGCATGCGCCCGGCCTCCCTGCAGCTGGGTGTGGGAGCAGGTGGACCGTGCTACTCTGCTCAACTCCTTAGATCCACCTCATTCAGTCCGAGAGAGAGGGAGGCTTTTGCCAAGTTTTTCCAGGTAAGGAGAGGGTTGCTTTCTCTGAGAGGGCATCAGCTCCTCTCAGAATTGAAATGTCCCTAATGAGTCCTGTGCTGACCCCCATGCCCTCCACCGTGAGAACATGATTCACCTTCAGCCAGCCTGAGCCGGTCCTGCAGGAGCCGAGGGTCTAGGTAAGGAGATCTGCATGGTCATTGGCTGTCAGCACTAGAAGGAGCACAGTGACGTTCTTTCTGTAGTATGCAAACATGGGATGAGAGAGAGCCTTCTGTACAGCGCAGTACTTGTAGGAAATGAGGCCTGGGGATGGAGGAACGAGGTGTGGGCTATAGGAGGGTGTGCTCAGGGTGGGCAGGAAGGTAAACAGCAGGCCAGCCATAGAGAGGCATGTAAAGATGTTCCTGACAGAAGGTGGTCAGCTTCCCCAAGGCCTTTCCACTCAGAGATGGCCCAGGACGATTCTCATTTTGCCTGTCAGTTTGCATTCTGCCTCTGGGATGGTTGTGCACCTGAACTTTCCCAGGCGCAGGTAACGACGGTGTTCTCTGCCTTGTGTGGTGTGGACCCTGTGGCATGCTTGAGAGGCTCTCAGCAGCCTAGCATGTTCCCTGGTGGGTGTTTGGAACCTCAGACACTGACCCTGTGGGGGCTCCTTGGTTGGGGGAACTTCTCATCTGGGCAGTTTCCTTGTTGCAGCCTGAAGGTGCAGTACTTGGGCTAGTGACCACATCTCAGGTTAGTGAAGTCCACAGACTACCCCTTTATGCACTGCCACAGGATTTCTCTCCCGTGTTACGCCTGCACCTGCCTCCTTCACCTTCAGCTTGTTGGTTTTGGCTCAGTGTCCTGTCCTGTGAAGGTCACTTTAGGTTTGGTTTGTCATTCCATCTCCTAGGTGTCTTTAGATCTGGATCATGCACTTGTCTAGGGCACTGAGCCCCTTCTGGACCACCTCAGCCTTGGGGAGCAGGGGCAGAAGGGGGCCCACTCCTGTCATGACACTAAGCCATCATGATGTTTTCCTTCTTACTGACAGAGGTGACATGAAAGACTTTGCCATTTAGTTGGCTTACCAGCAAAGAACATTGATCACGTGTGGACAAAGCTGCTCACTTCCAGTTGTTCCAGTTTCGTGACCTTTCTGAGAGTCTGAGAGCTTCAGATCATTTCTGCAAATTGTTTTGGTGCCTGGGGAGTTTTGGTGTCCCTTTGGTGCCTGTTTGGTGCCTGGGATATTTGTCCGGGCATTGAAGGTGAAAAGTTGAAGCAGTCAGGTGCCCTCTTACTGTTTCTCTTCTCATCTTGTGTTTTAAGATTTCTGGTCCATAGATCATATATATATACATATACATATATGTGTGTGTGTGTATATATATACTTTTTTGCCATACAGCATTATTTTGTATATCAAAATTTTAATAATTTAGATGATTATTTTGTAGTGGATGGATTAAGTCATTCATATGAAGACCTGTTTACAATGTTATGTGGAAAAAGCAGGTTACAAAAGAAGATGCATAATGTGGTTATAATTACAAAATGATTGGAAGAAAATACATGAAACTGTTCTAAGTGGCTGTGACTGGTAGTATCCTGAATCACTTTTACTTTTCTTTTGTTTTTTAAGTGTTTTCTAGATTTCGTACAATGGATATGTATGATACTCAGGAAAAAGATTAATTTTTAAAAAGTTCATACTCTTTGATTTACTAATTTCTGTTCTAGTAGTCCGTTCTAAGAGATAATTAGAAATGTAAATAAAGATCTTGTACACAAAGGTACCATTACAGAATCGCTTAGAACAGGTTAAGTGGAAAGCCGCTGTGCAGTCCTGCAGGGCTGGTAACTGGGCCATTCTTCCTCCTGTGGATGCTGGAAGCACATACGTTTATGTTCTCTGATTTTTCCGACCATAAACATATGCCAAGCCCTTGGCCGCTCCCTTTTACAATTTTAGCTGGACCTAGTTGAAATAGTCTTAGCTTTCTGTTACTGCCAGCATTTTGTTTAAACCAGTGATGTATTCTGCATTTGGGATTTTTAATGGCGTTCTGGGCTGACGCAGCTGATGTGGCTTCTTTCCTAGTGAGGTTCCTTCTCGTCTCAGCTGAGCTCATTGGAGAGCTGTGCTTGTGGCTCGCTCTTTGTTTATTCCCGTCTTTGTATCTGCAGTTGCGTGGTGAGGTCTGCTTTTTGGTGACTGTCAGCCTGTGACGGTGCCTCTCGTGCACAGGGGTTTGTCGGTTTGGCCTTGGCTCACCTCCTACTTTTACACCTTCTGAGGTGACACAGCCACTTTCCTTCTGCCTTACTGAGCCTCCTTCTTGGTCAGAATTCAGTCAGAGCGAAGCTCCCCAGTGACTTCCTTTGTCTTCTGAGAACTGCTATCCAGGAGGGTGAGAAAAGCATCATTGCTGTGTCTGCAGAGAGCAAGGCTGTGCCTAGGGCCTGGCCACTCGTGCCTTGTTGCCAAGCAGTTGGGAGATCTGAGGGCCAGGGCTTGTTCACACTTCCCTGTGGCCCTCACTATGGGCCTCTAGGCAGCTCTGCTTCCTTTTACAGGTGGCCAGGCTTTCCGTGCCTGTAGGGTCAGCCCCACACACCAGATGTGCCCATCCCCACAGGCCTCCCCTTGTTCTGAGTGTTGTGTGCGTGGGTGGCCTCCCCCATGGCCCACACCTGCGCCTGCTTCAGTCCTGCAGAGGACACCATGAGGTCAGGATGGAGTTGCTGAGGCTTGAGAAGGATGTGCCCCATACGGGTTGGACAAGGGGCCAGCACCTACTGCTCCCTGCCCGCCGGCTGTCTCCAGTCTGGCCTCCTTGCTCTTGCCTGCAGAGTACTGGGCTCCCATCCTCCACAGGTATCTTGGCAATGTCACATCTTCATCCCGTGTCAAATGGGCTTTGGATTTCTGTCTGAGGCCATGCATTCCCAGTGAAGCCAAGCTCACCCTTGGGAGCGCCTCCTGTTG